TAATTTAAAACACAGAAAAACTCTCATCTGAGGTGCCAGCCGGGAGTGTGGGAGTGCAGCCTGGGGTTCTGCCCTGCATGGGTGTGAGTGACACCTCCCAGTGACAGCGTGTGTACACGTGTATGTGTGTTAGGAAGGATCTGGTGGGGCCAAGGCAGTTCTGCATGGTGCAGGCTTGTGGCTGTCCTGCAGGCTCAGACCGATATTCCTGGATCCCTGTGCAGTGTTTTTACTGGTGATGTCTGTGACTGACAAGTTATATGCCTGATGAATCAGTTCTTGGTCTTTTGGCTTAGGTCAAGTGTTTGGTGTATTTTACAGTAGAAATACTAGACTAATGCTTTGTGTAAATACCTTTAAAAATGTTTACTTATTGTGTGTGCATGTGTGTCAAGGGTGCATATGTTACTGTGTGTGCATGTGTGTCACGGGTGCATATGGAGGTCACAGGATAACTTTGTAGAGTCAGTTTTCTCCTCTCACCTTTTCATAGATTCTGGGACTTGAACTCAGGTCATCAGGCTTATGCAGCAAGCATATTTACCTGAGCCACCTTGCCAACTCTTGTATAAATGGTTTTTAAAAACTCACTTTGGGGGCTGGAAAGATGGCTCAGTAGTTAAGAACATGGCTTGTTCTTGCAGAGACTGGGGTTCGAATCCCAGCACCCACATGGCCGCTAACAACTGTCCAAAACTCCAGTCCCAGGGGATCCGACAGCCTCTTCTGTCCTCCTTGGGCATTGCACGACATGGGTGCATGTACCTACACACAGGCAATACACGCGTACACATAAAATAAAAATAATAAAAAAATAAAAATAAAAACTCACTTTGGCTGGGTGTGGTGACCCACACCTTTAATCCCAGAACCGGGGAGGCAGAGACAGGCAATCTCTGTGAGTTCGAGGCCAGCCAGGGCTGCATAGTGAGACCCTGTCTCAAAAAACAAGAACGAGAAAACAAACGAAAAACCCACAGAAAGTAAAAAATTCACTTTGGCATTTGGGAAGTGCTGCGTTTGAAAATGAGATTATCAGCTCCTCTGAGGACAGTGTGCTGGCTGTACTCGTCCTCTGGGTTGAGGGTAGGAGGGGCGAGCCTGCTGTGGAAACTTTGTAGTGTGTACTGGGAAGCTTCATCATATCCTGTCTATGTGCCATGTGTGCTTCCTTTAACTTTTCTATCCTGTGTGTATTATATATGTATTGTGTACACACACACAACACACACACACACACGACAAATATGTCCTGATTTTATAGTTATCTAGTCTCAAGATACTAAGTCAGTTGCCAGTGTGAAAAAACAACAGGAGCTGGAGAGATGCTCAGCGGTTAGGAGACTGACTGATCTTGCAGAGGACTTGGGTTCAATTCCCAGCACCCACATGGCGGCTATGAACCATCCTTAACTCCAGTTCCAGGGGATCCAACGCTCTCTTCTGACCTCCATGGCATTGCATGACACGGGTGCACTCACAGACATGCAGGCAATCACTCATACACATAAAATAAAAATAACAAAATATTAAAACAGAACAAAACAAACCAGGGGACCCCTAAAATGTAGGTCAGAAGGAGGAGCTTGTATGATGGGTAAAACTGAAGAGACACTGTCCAAACCAGAACACAACTGATTTATCTCAAACTGGAATCAAAGAATCTGGCAGGCTCCTGGCACTACAGTCTGGTTGTAAAGCTCCACACATGTTACTGATGGTTTTGTCTGCCTCTAGTTTTCAGGGAAATGGATGGTCAGTGTTAATTACCTACAGGACAGAGTCTAAAATCACCTGAGAGACAGACTCTGGGCATGCTGTGGGGATCGGCTTAATTGCACTCATTGATGTGGGAAGACCATTATCTGGGCAGGGGATCCTGGACTACAGGAAACGGAGAGAGCCAGGTGAGCACCACACGCTTGCATTCAGCTCTCTTTGCTGCCCACAGTGAATGCGAGGACCAGCAGCCTTGGGCTCCTGCTGCCTTGCCTTCCCTGCCATGATGGACTGGACCTCGAACTTTGAGTTAAAATAAATCCTTTCTCCTCGAGTTGCTTTTGTCAGAAACTTCAACAGGAACAGGAAAAGAAATTAAGACAGAGATTATGTGGGGAAACAGAGAGAGTTAGGAATGTGAAGAGTTAAGACTCAGGAAGGCCCCAAACCAGCAAGCTTCAACCACACCCACTGCCCGGGTCTTTTATTAAGATTTAACCATGTGTTTACCTAGGCTCTTCTGCCATGTACTACGGCTTGTGGCAATGGATGTTACTGTGATAAAATCCATGTCAGACCACTGCTGCTGTGTGGACCCAGTCTTGAACCCTCATCCTGTGTTTGTCAACTCGGCAGTCAGTCCACTCCTCTGCCCTGTGCTCCTTGTCTTTTTCCACCTGGCGTTGAAGTAGGCCCCTCCCACCTGCACAGTATGCTGTTCCCTCACACCATTACTCATCCTCAGACATGGGCTTTCATGGTGAAATAGGTCAGTAGTGCCTAGATATGGAGGCGGCATCAAATGCTCTCTCCTGGTGGCCTTCCCCAAGTCGTTTCATGTGCTGGAGTGCGGATGCCTGCAGCATGGCCTGTGCCTTCCCACGGCTGGTTGTGGCGGTAAGCTGGTGCTTGGCTCACTTTTTAGTGACGGCTCCTCATGAAGCCATCTTCCAGAGTTCACTTGGCACTAATTAGATTTTTTAAAAATTTTACTGTGAGGTCGGAACCCAGTCAATGGGGAAAAAACACAGTTCTCGTGTTAGGGATAAAAGCCCCCCAAGCTTCTGAGTCCTGTGTTCTTGCTGGATCTGACTGACCATACAAGCTACCGTTTTGCAAAAGTAAAACCTGCCTTGCCAAGTTACTTTTTCTTTGTCCGCAGGTTCTTTGTGCGCTACTGATGGGGTCCTTGGACCTCTGATTTTATTTCTAACACCCTCTCCTCGATGGTCTCTGCCAGACACTGCCTAAGTGTGGCTCAGTTGCCCTATGTTCTCTCCCAGACTCCACAGAGATCCCTCAGACAAGAGGGACGTGGCCTCTTGGATATGTGAGGGGTCACTGCAAGGCTGTACCTCAAGACCCAAGAGCTGAGCATGAGACAGTGGTGTGCACCCTCGGAGGGGACACCAGGGTAACAGCTGGGTGAAAGCCAAAAGGCATGAAAGGGGGAAAGAGAAAGAGAAGAAATATGAAGAGGAAGAGCATGTTTCAGGAGATGTGTCGTGCCACCAGAGGCGCATTTCCTGAATGGCAGTGCCCATGAAGCTTGACCAGACCAGCTGCAGCTGGGGCCGGGAAGACAGCCGCCGGAGAAGGAAGGAGGCTACATTGCCTTGGGAAGGCAGTGAGGGCTGAAGGGACCAAGAGAAAAGAAAGTGGCAGATTCGGGGGAAACCCAGAGGTAGGAGACAAGACACAGAGGGACAAGTCCAAACTGGAGACCCCAGCTTCTGAGAGCGAGGAAAAGGAAGGCAGACATGGCAGGGAGAGGGGCTCGAAAACCCGAAGCGGGGAAACTGGGAGAGAAAACCCTGGAACAGGGCACAGAGCACACAGGGTGCCCAGAGGAAAGCATGCTGTGACAGCGAGCTGCTTGGGACTGTCAGGGTCCCAGGCTGCAGACAGAATCTAGGAGGCTGAGAGTGGCAAAGAGAAGTTGGAGGGCAAGTCAGGTGTCCTCAGGGAGTTCAGAAAGGAAGAGGAGAAAACTGATCTTGCCCACAGGAGGGCAAGAAAGAGCAGGATGATGAGCCAGGCAGCGGGTGTGGATGGTAAGTGGCCAGCCCCTCCCTCAGGACCATTCTGGGGGACTTCCTGTAGTCAGGCAGAGGGTGGGAATGATGGACAGAAGCTGTGTTGTAGGTGGTTGGGGGAGATGTGACATACAGTTCAGGAGGCTGGCTTGAAGTGGGGCTGTGCGTTTGTGTGCATGTGCACAAAGTGTAGCTTTGTGAGCGCACGTCTGTGTGCAAACATGCATGCACGTGTGTGTGCTCAGGTGGAGGTCGAAGGAGGATCAAATTCAGGTCCTCATGCTTTTGCAGGAAGTACTGCAAGCTGTGAGTTTTCAGGGGCCTGGTGCCTTTCACGGATCTGCCTTGCTCTGGTCAGATGTTATGAGGGAAGTGATGGAGGAAGCTGAGCTTCAGAGAGGTTAAACTTGACCAGGTAGAGGAGCGGGGGTCCTCAGCGACCCCCACTGTGCAGTGTGGCACGCCCTGCCCTGCAGCAGCCGAGGTGAGGAAGGGGATGCGAACTGTTTTCTGTGTTGACCGTGTTGAGATGGTTGTATTGTGTATTGAAATCAGATTCCCCTGCATCTCCTGAGCTGCACTGTCGTGCACCCCCCAGGTCTCTGCCGAGCGCTGCTATGTCTCCGGACCGCCTCTTGGTCAACTCCAGCATTCACAGCTGTCCCCGAAATGCTTCCTCTAGCCTGGTCTCATGTGCAGACAGGGCCCCTCTTACCTGCTGAGGCCCTGAACGCTATGAAGCCATGCTCCTCTCTCTGGCAACCCCTGCAGGTCTGCAAGGAGAGTCCAGGGGAGGCAGCCATAGACCCGGAACGCCCAGCACGTTCCAGAGCCCACGTCCTGCAGTACTGGCTACGTCCAGCAGGGGGACCACTATCCTCTCCCCGCCTCTGTTCCTGCCCCCGGCCGCTGGGTGTCAGCAGAAACCCCCTAAGCCGGTGTCAGTGGGCACAGTTCCCCGGCTTCCCGCGGTCCCGCATGGTTGCTTTAGGGGAACACAGAGGCTGACCTGCTGGGAGAGGTGGAGCCAGTGCAGCCTGCGCTGCTGGGGAGGTCTTGCCCCTTGGCCGGGCTGCCAAAGGCGAGCGGGCGGGCGGGCCCGGGCGGGGCTCCGCGAGGAGGGGCGGGGCTGGGGTATGGGGCGGGGCTTCAGGGGCGGGGCTTCAGCTGGGTGGGCCGGGCTCCAGAGGGGCGGGCCCCAAGAGGGGGCGGGGTTTAGACTGGCCGGGGCTTCTTCCGGGGGCGGGGGCCTTAGCGGAGGGAGCCGGCCTACTCGTGCTGCTCCGGCTGATGAGGAGGTCCCCGGGCCGGCCTTTCCAGCACGTTCCCCTCCCGGTTCCTTTCGGCCCGGCCTCCCGGGGCGCGAAGACGTGCAGAGCCGGGTAAGGCGGGCGCAGCACTTGGTAGTGGCTCGCCGGGGTCCGCTCCTGTGCCGGGTCACACCGGGCCTGCCTAGCTGGGGAGTTCCGTCACGCACGTGACTCCGCCTGGGCCGCGGAGCTGCCGCGCTGGGTTTGGAGCAGGTCTCCTCCGGGTCTGTCCGGGGCCCATCGCACAATTCCCACACTACTTGTCACGTGGCCGCGGCTTGCGGTCCCTCCCCCCGGTCTCCGTCCTGCCTTGCTGGACTTCCTGGGGACTGAGGAAGATGCAGATGCGTGCTGGGGCTGGGACAGCTGTTCGGGCTGGGGTCTGCGTGGTGCGGGCCTTTCCACCCTGCCCTCCTGCACAGAGAGGTTTCCGTAGGCGCCCAGCCGGGCTTCGCTGAGTGATGGTTAGTGTTGGCGGGCGACGGGGAGGGCTGTTCCCGGCCTGGGTGCACAGTGATGTCAGACCTTCCTGGATCAGCATTGACGGCAAGCCTGCTGACCTGCCGGTGGGAGCTCAGCCCTTACTGGGGCAGCTGAGTTCTTGGGCCCTAAGGTCCTGTCAGTCCTGACCCGGCTGCATCGTGGTCTCTTGGAGAAGCCCAGGCCCCGCTGGCTTGCTTTTAATGGCTGTGCTTGCTATCCTGTCTCTGAAGGGATAGGAAAATACCACGACAATAAGTTGTTTAGCCCGGACCTCAGAATCCCTGCGTGGATGGTGGTAAAATCTGCCCGAACCTTAGAACCCCCGTGTGGGTTGTAAGAGGCTTGTTTGCACCCTCTGCTGTCGGTACTGGGGTGGAGTCTGGTAGGTTCTGGAGTCTAAGTTGTCTCTGTCTCATGAAGCACTGCACTTGAAAACCGTGGCCGTGGCTTTTCTCCCTGTCCTGCATTGTTCAGGAGACACCCCCTCGGCCATCCAGAGTTTAGCCGTGCTGGCAGAGCTTAGTGCCTGTGAGGCTAGTCCAGGTCCTCCTATCTCCCGAAGCTGCCTGTGCTTTAGGGCCTGGTCTCCTGTCCCCTAACCTCCCCACCCACCCCCACACTCTCGTCCACATCCACCCAGTCTGATGCTTCACTGCATGAACAAGAAAAAAAATACCTGTCAAACCAGTCAGGACAGTACACACCTGGGCTTCCAGCACTTGGGAGGCTGAGGCAGGAGAATCACAACTTTTGAGGCTAGCTTGGACTACATAATCTCAAAAAAACAATAAAAAACCAGTGCCAGTTGTGGCACACGCCTTTAATCCCAGCACTGGGGAGGCAGAGGTAGATGGATCTCTTGTGAGTTTGAGTCCACCCTGCTCTACATAGTGAGTTCCAGGTCAGCCAGGGCTCCATAGTGAGATCTTGTCTCAAAAAATAATATAAAATAAAAGCAAACTGCCTGTCACGTTCTTTATCCTTTCCCTCCTCAAAGCAGCCTACCTGCCACTTGTAGGCTACTCACTGAGCTAACAAGGCCCGGCAGGATGGCTGTCCGCCCAAGGGTTGAGCTGGGTCCTGGCTTTAGGTTGGAGTGCAGAAGGCCCAGCCTCATGAGTGCTCCTCTCCGTGAGTGCTCGTCTCCGTGAGTGCTCCTCTCCGTGAGTGCTCATCTCCGTCAGTGCACCTCTCCGCGAGTGCTCGTCTCCGTGAGTGCTCGTCTCCTTGAGTGCTCTTCTCCATACGTGCCCCCGTCTCTCCCAGCATCTCAGTATCCAGCTCACCTTTGCGTCTGTGTCCTCAGGACCTAGTGCAGTGCTGGCCAGCGGCAGGATCAGATGAACAAGCCATGAGAGTTCATGCAGTTAGGATGTGACCCCACGCTGGGCTGTGTTTTGGTTCCAGAGTGGGGCTAGCCTGGAAGAGGATGCCCTGTCTTAGAGGATCTGGGGGCAATCAGGGAGCCAGCCGGGCATGCTGTGTTGGTTCCCTCCGTTACCCTCACACCCAGTAACAACCCTTCCTCCAGTGCCCCTGAGGTGTCCTGCCTCTGTCCTGCCACTGCTCCCCTCAGTCTGGCTCCCCTGAAGGTAGAGTCCTGTCCTCCAGCATCCTGTGGGCTGCCCTGCCCATCTCCCCATGCCTCACAGGTAGGGCTTCCAGGTGTGGTAGTCACACTGAGGAGTTCTCTGGGACTCATCATCTTCACAGAAGATGTTCCAGGGGGCCCAGCTGGGGAGCCCTCGAGCCTCAGAGAGAAGCATCCCTAACCCCTTTCCACTCAGCTGGGTCCCCCGAGTTTGTGTCTTGGTAGCACACCTGGGTAGGTGTGTAGGAAGCAGGCATGGATCCTGGCTGACACACACTGGGGAATGGCCACCTGTCAGCTCTTACCCTCCCTCTTTAGGCCTTGTAGGTCAAGTGCACACCTAGAGCCATGGGGAGGAATCCATGAGGTCGAAAGCTGGGGCAGCCCGTGTGGGGCCGGGCTCTGGCTCTCAGGGTTTTCCTGTCTTTTCAGGTGGGACAAGAAGAGCAAAGGGTGGTGTGAAGTGGAGGCAGCTGGAGCACAGGGGCCCGTCCGCCTGACGGAGTGTGCTGCTTCTGTGATGGTGAAGGAGAGGGCACATGTGCCCGTGAGTGCGTTGGTGCCACAGTCCCTCTCTGCACATGGTCAGTGTGTTGAGATACGCAAGCTTTCCCTATATAGGATGCAAAGTCCTCTTCCCTGTCTGGGCTCCAGGCTCCAGGGTTTCCTGACAAGACTGACCTGTCGATTTCACAGAGGGCAGGGGCCCTGTAGGGATCTGCCTGGTGTCCCCCATAAACTCTGTGTGTGTGTGTGTGTGTGTGTGTGTGTGTGTGTGTGTAGATGTGGATGGGGATTGGCAGGCTGCTCTGAGGGAGGAGAGATCCAGGTTGAGTGCTTGGGGCAAAGGTCATGCCTAGACTTCCAGGGTTGGGGTAAGCCCTTTTGGCCACCAACTGACCTGAGTCTACATTAGCAGTGCATGTCTGCATCCAGGGCCAGTCCCAGGGTGAGGGGTGGTGTCGGGTGCACACAGTGGGTGCCATGTGCGTCCTTGTACAGTGTGGAACACTGACCCTGGCCCAGTTTGTTTCTTAAATAAATGGAGCCACTGTGCCAGTGGCCCAAGGACCCAGATCCCCTTGTTTTTGCTTTTGAGACAGGCTCTCTAGCCAAGGCTGGTCTTGAACTTGGTATATACCAAAGATAACCTAGAACTCCTGATCCTCCTGCCTGTACCTTCCAGTGCTGGGATTATAGGTGTGTACCACTGTGCCTGGCATGGCCCAACACATGCATTTTAAATTTTTATTTATTATTTTATATGTATGAGTGTATTGCCTGCATATGTGTAAGTGCACCTGTGTCATGCAATGCCTGCAGAGGTCAGAAGTGGGTGTTGGATCCCCTGGAACTGGAATTACAGACTGTTGTTAACTGCCATGTGGGTTCTGGGAATTAGTGAACCTGGGTCCTCTGCAAGAGCAGCCAGTGCTCTTAATCTCTCTAGGTCCCCAACACATTCATTTTAAAGAAACATTTCCATTTTGTTTTAGTGCTGGTGTTGAACCCAGGGCCTCATGCATGTCAGGTAAGCACTCTCTGGGAGCCAAACCCTTGCTCCCAACATGTGTGATCTTAAAACGTAAATTTCCATGTAGAAATTATAGGAGCAAAATAAAAGTTAACACTTCACAGTGGCAAAGTGTGGACCATCATACTTATGACCTGTTCAGAATCTCCCCTCTGTGCTTGAAGACTTCCTGCACTGGAGCCAGACAGAACACTAGGGTGGGTAGCATGGTAATCCTGCGAAAGTCTGTTAACGCAACATCTGAAAAGTTTCAGAACGAATGTTTGAAAAACGAAATGTGGGCTGGCGAGATGGCAAGATGGTAAAGGCAGTTCCCGCACAAGCCTGGCACCTGAGATTGACCCCTAGGACCCATGGAGAGATGGAAGGAGAGAACAATTCCACAGTTATCCTCAGGCCTCCACATGTGGTCCATAGCATGTGTGCCCCACGTTACACACACACACACACACACACACAAAATAATAAAACTATGCAAGTGGTGCATTTACACATAATATAAACGTAGTAGCCACATACACTGTAATGAAGAAGGAAAGGTGTCAATGGCTGGAGCTGTTGGAGACCCCACAGTGATGTCCCCAGGACTTCTTGCAGGAGCACATAGTGGTTAACTCACCTACGTAGTGTGCCATTTCCAACTGTGGATATGCTCAGGGCACAGTACGCACTGAAGCTCGTTCTAAAGTAGGAGCATTGTGTCACCTGGACAGCATGTGGCAGGTCGTCAGTCAGTGTCTGCTCTCTGCAGGAAAGCCCATGAAGGTGAGCCTGGCAGCTGAGGAGGTTGCCACTTTTTATGGGAAGATGTTGCATCTTGAGTATATGACAAAGGAGGTTTTCCAAGATAACTTCTTCAATGACTGGAGAAAGGTGTCACTGGTGGCCACAGCAGCCACCCTGGACCTGGCAGGCGGGACACTCTGGGGTGAGTGCCCAGCCAGCTGCCATCTCTACAACCTTCCCAGCTTGCAGTGGCCACAGTATTTCCCCAGCATGGCTGCTGCCAATGGCCCAGGAAAATAGGCATGGGGTATGGAGACAGCAGTACTGCGTGAGGTTTCTGTCTTTCCTCATTTTAAAAAAGTGTGTTAGGCCGGGCGTGGTGGCACACGCCTTTAATCCCAGCACTCAGGAGGTAGAGGCAGGCGGATCTCTGAGTTCAAGGCCAGCCTGGTCTACATAGTGAGTTCCAAGACAGCTGGGGCTGCAGGGAGACCCTGTCTCAGAAAGACCAAAAAAAAAAAAAAAGTGTGTTAGGTGTGAGTCCAGCTGCCTTCCTGTCCAGTTCCCTAGAAACCGCAAGGCTCTCCTGGCAAATCCCCTCGTGGCCCCTGGCAGCTTTCTGTGCGCTTTGTCATGTGATAGTTCCTTTTGTTCACGGTCACTCCTTCCTAGAGTTTTTACATTTAATTATTTATTTGTGTGTGGTAGGGAATTGTGCCACAGCGCCCAAGTGCAGTCAGAGCACAGCTTGTGGGTGTTGCTCCTGTCCTTCCACCATGGGGGTTCTGGGGATCACACTCGGGTGACTTGATTTTATCTGGTGAGCCATCTCCTGGCTTCTGTGTACTTTGAAGCATGGCCCCTGGTACAGTTTCCTCACCAGAGGGCACCATGACCCTCTATGTGAGACTTATTTGCCTTTCACCTCAGTGAGGCCTTGATAAACAGGAAATGTTAATTTATCAATTATTCGATGTATTCATCTTTATTCCCTAATTAATATTGTGAGTTGCATGTGTATGGGCTCGGGTGTGGGGACGTGTGGAAGCAGAGGTGACAGCGGGAGCCTTGCCTCACTCTTCACTTTATTTTCCAAGGCACGGCCTTGTCCTGGACCCAGGGCTTGCTGATTCGTCTGGTCTAGCTGACCAGTTTGTCCCAGGGATCCCTGGCTCTACCTCCCCGGTTCTGGGATTATGGGTGCCTTCCATGGACCCATGATTAATGTTGTCCTACTTAAGATTAACTCTCTTTTTCTTTTTGGTGGTAATCCTGGAATGGAATCCAGGGCCTTAAACATGCTAGGCAAGTGTTGCACCACTAAGCCATATCCTAGCCCCTATTTAAATGTTATTTTATATGTTTATCTAGTTGTTTATAGACAGGATCTCCCTGTAGATCCAGCTGGCCTGGAACTCACTATATAGGCTAAGTTGGCCTAGTTCTCACAGAGATCCACCTGCCTCTGTCTCCCAAGTGCTGGGTAGTATGCACCCCCATACCCAGTTGTTTTATTTATTTTTAATTGTGTGTATATGAGTGTGTCTACATGTGGGTTTGTGCACTCGAGTGCAGTGAACCACAGAATCCAGAAGACAGTGTTGGATCCCCTTTAGCTGGAGTTACAGGCAATTCTGAGCTGCCTAACTGGGGTGCTGGGTGTTGAATTCAGTCCTCTACAAGAGCAGTATGTGCTCTTAATTACCGAGCCATCTCTCCAACCTTATTTATCGAGACAGGATCCCATGTGGCCCAGGCCTCAAACTTGGTATGTAGCTGAGGCTGACCTTGAATTCCTGATCCTTCTGCTTCTGCCTTCCAAGTGCTAAGAGTACATGCATATATCACTGTGCCCTACTCTGTTAAAATTTTAACCAGAAATATGATTTGCCAAAATGTTTCACTCCATCTGTGGCTTATATTTTATTTTAATTTTCCTAAGTGTTCTTGGGAGAAGTTTTTGATACTGATGGAAATCTAGTGTTATTTTTTTTTAATGGGCTGTGCTCTTGATATTGTGTCTAAGAAATCTTTGCCTCACCGAAGGTCACAAAGATTTTTTTACCTTTTTATCCCAGGGCATTCACAGTTGTATAGGGTTTTTAAAAAATATTTTATTATTTTTATTTCATGTGTATGAATGTATTGCCTGCATGTATGTGAGTGCACCCGTGTCGTGCAATGCCGTGGAGGTCAGAAGAGGGCTTCGGATTCCCCTGGAACTGGAGTTAAGGACGGTTCGTAGCCACCATGTGGGTGCTGGGAATTGAATCCAGGTCCTCTGCAAGAGCAGTCAGTCTCTTAACCGCTGAGCCATCTCTCCAGCTCCACTTGTATAGGTTTTATGGGTCTGAATTTAGGTATAATATTGGAGGTGACTTATGGCTTGCAATCAAAGTTAAGGTTCTCATAATGGACCCAGGATCACTGGCAGGGACAGTGTGGCCTGTCCTCCCCGGTCCTGAGCTGTTTCTGGTCCTCTCTCCCACTAACCACCAGACGTGTAGTAACATGGAGAAACACCCAGTGATGCGTGTGGGGCAGGCTGTCCAGTGTGTGCTCCTGTTTTGTTTGGCCCCTAATGATTATTGGCACAGAGGGTAAATGTGGGCTTATTCTGTCAGAGCTACAAAGCACAGGTGAGGGGCCCAGTCCAGCGGCATGGGCCTTGGGCCTGCTGCGATGGCTACACATGCTGGGTCCCATACCAGGTAGTCTCCCCTAGGCTCTGCTTTGAACAGAAAGAAGTGGAATTGTGTTGTGTCCCATTGTTTCCCCACACCCCCTTTGGATGACTGTGAGCCAGGCCTGGTACAGGGCTGAGGCTTCGCTGGTGAGGAAGTGGGAGGAGAGAACCAATTGCATTGCTGCAAACCCTTTCCCTGAGTCTGTGTCCCTGTGTCTCCTCACACACATTAGGCTTTCACAGTTGTGATAAGTATTACATGATGTGCTTCCCCCACTTAGCATTTTGTTACGTTTTCCCCTGTTGCTAAGGTACCGTCATGCTGTGATTTGAAGGCTCTCTCCAAAACGCCCCTTGGGATGTAATGGCCATTACAGTAGTATTAAGAGATGAGGCTGGGGGCTGGAGGGGTGACTCAGTGGTTAAGAGTGTGTACTGCTCTTGCAGAGGACCTGAGTTCAGTTCCCAGCACCCAGTTGGGCAGTTCACAACTGACTATAACTCCAGGGGGATCAGATGGACTGGACTGTGAGGGTACCTGCACTCAACTGCACATGTCCACATACACAAACACACATATACATATAAATCTTTAAGCTGGGCATGGTGGTACATGCCTTTAATCCCAGTACTCAGGAGGCAGAGGCAGGCAGATCTCTGGGAGTTTGAGGCCAGCCTGGTCTACATAGTGAGTTCCAGGTCAGCTGGGGCTACAGGGAGACCCTGTCTCAATAATACAAAATCAGTCAATCAATCTTTAATGGTACTAGAGAGATGGTTCAGCAGTTAGAGCACTTTCTGCTCTTGCAGAAAACCCTGGTTCAGTTCCTAGTACCCACATGGCAGCTCACAGCTGCCTGTTAACTCTTCTGGCCTCCACAGGCCCTACATACACATAGCGCAATTGCATATACCATGGAAGGCAAACATTCATACACATAAAATAAATAAATCTTTTAATTATTTATTTATTTATTTATTTTTGTCTTTTTGAGACAGGGTCTCCCTGTAGCCCCAGCTGTCCTAGAACTCACTATGTAGACCAGGCTGGCCTTGAACTCACAGAGATCCTCCTGCCTCTGCCTCCCAAGTGCTGGGATTAAAGGCATGCGCCACCATGCCTGGCTGGAGATTTCTTCAATTGTCCCCAAAATAAAATTTTTATCACACTGACATGGATGATTTACATAGGATGGGATCGTCAAAGTGGAGCTAGTGGGTCAGAGGATTTTAACATTTTTTTTTCTTTTTTTATTCTTTTCGAGACAGGGTCGCCTAGCTGTCCTGGAACTCACTATGTAGACCAAGCTGGCCTTGAACTCACAGAGATCCGCCTGCCTCTGCCTCCCGAGTGCTGGGATTAAAGCTGTGTGCCACCATGCCCAGCAATTTTACCATTTTCATTGTTGAGACGTTACAATACTTTGGAAGAGGGGTACCCTTGGTCACCCCATCCCCTACTCCTGGGCTCACAAAAGGGAGAAGGGTATGCTAATAGAGCCCATTTTTTCTGGATGGGATCTGGGGGTAGTATGGCTCTGTCACTGGGAGCCTGGGGTGGGCCACTCTGTCAGCAGAATCTCTGGTACATGGTGTGGGACATGGGAAGACTTGTCTAAGGAAGGACCTGAATTCAGGGACTCACTTAGGGCTGTTATTTAAAAAAACTTCAGAAGTTTGGCTACTGTATTTTAGATGGCCACAGAGAAAAATTGGCAATTTCAAGATGGAGCCACCAGGGTTGTTCTGTGGCCGTGGTGACCATCCCAAGATGGGGATGTTGAAAAGGACAGTCATGCCAGAGGACGTGATCATCAACTGCAGCAGGTGCACGGGACGTGGCCAGCCGGGCTGTCCTGGGCAAGCACTGGACCCTGGCTAGGTCTACCCCTGGCTCCCTGGTGAGGTGAACTTTATCTTTAGCTCTTCTGGGAATGGTACCCCTCACAGGATGATGTGTGGCCCAAAACACCAAGCACTGTTCCCACGAGCCCTGGATCCTTCAGGGCTCTGGGTCAGCAGGTGGGCTATGGTGGTGCCTCTTACTTGCCGCAGAGATTCCACCTCGCCCAGTGGGAAGAAGTCTAAGCATTTTCAGTACTGCTCTTCACACATGCCTATCAGCATGTTGGAGCGTGGGGCTTGTGTTTTGGTAGTGCTGTACTACTGTGTTACGGTCCTGTGAACCATGTGCTAGGTGGAGCCCATCCTACCCCCAGCCCCACTGGCCCCAGGTGGCAGAGCTGGTGTGCAACAGCCCCTTGTCTGAGTTGGAGGTGTAGATCTCTCTACAGAGCCAGTGGCCTTGCTGGATGACAACTCTTTTCTGGTCTGACCTTGGACTGTGTGTGTGTGTCTGTTCATATGTGTGTGTGTCTGTGTGTATTGTGTATGCATGTGTGTATGTTGTATATGCATATACAGGGCAAGTTGACAGCGATTGGCCTATGCAGCTTGGAGCCAGCTCTGAGACTGTACTTGCACGGAGTTTGGCTACAGGCCACAGTTTAGGAAAGTCACCCAGAGTTTCTCCTACGTCAGGACCAAGGACTTGAAACTATGTTTGTCTCTCTTCCACTGCAGGGATTCCAAGATTCCTGATCCCCCAGCCAGTCACCAGTGGAAAGAGGTGCACTCGGACCACACAGTCATGTGGCTGGCTGCGTGGATAGAGAATGTCCAGAAATCCATCAAGTATGTTATGCTGACCCCCAGCTCCAAACTGAAGGTGAGAGTGTGGCTTTCCAGGAAGCTCTGTGTCCCAAAGCAAGTGTGTCAGGCTCTCCCCCATGTGCTGTTCTGGGGAGGCAGATGTGGAGGCTCCTCAGTCGGGCAGTGCAGCCTTGAGAGACTCTCCAGGATCAGCCAGCGCCATTGAGAATGGCTGTACCCAGTGGCTGCAGTCTATAAACAGGAACTCGAGTGGGGGCTCATACTACTTTAGTCTGCCCCCCCATCTCTTACTCCACCCGGCCTGCCTGAGGATGCCTGAGGTGGGGAGAGATCCAGTCCTGTTCCGCCTCTTCACTAGGACATGGAGTGATATTTATTCTCTTTACCTAGGGGGAGAGGGACTGGCAGAAGTGTGAGGTAGCTCGATGCTCGAGGGGGCTGTAGATGAGATCTATGCTCAGTACCAGGCTGACTGGCAATCACCAGAAATGAAGAAAAGACAGAGGGTGTTGGCCCTTTATTTCATTGATAAGGTACAGACAGCGTGGTGTGCAGACCTTGAGGGCTGGGTAGCAGGGTCAGCGGTGGCTTCTGTGTGGAGCCGGAGCCTCCGTCAGATAGAAAGGCGTGTGCAGTGTGCCTGTGTGTGCGTGCGTGTGTGCGTGTGTGTGTGTGTGTATGTGTGCTTCTGTGTGTGCATGCCTGTGCATATGCCACTGTATATGCCTGAGCGTGGTGTGTGGTTGTATGTATATGTGTTTGTGTACAGTGTGTCTGTGTGTGGGTGTATATTCTGAGTGCTGTGTGTGCATATGTGGTTGTATGCATATGTGTTTGTGTACAATGCGTCTCTGTGTGGGTGTGTACCTGAGTGCTGTGTGTGCATGTCCTCCTATGTCATGAACCACAACACTGACCAGTGTCCCTGGTCCAGCTGGTGTTGCAGACAGGAAACAAGGAGGAGGAGGGTGAGACGGCCGACACTGTGGGCTGCTGCTCGCTCCGTGGGGAGCACATCTGGCTGCACGCACAGGCAGATGGTCGAGAACATGTTGTGGAGCTGGACTTCTTGGGAAAGGGTTCCATCTGCTACCATAACCGTGTGACCGTGGAGAAGCTTGTGAGTGACCTTGGTGACTATGCCCACAATGGGGTCTCTGTTAGAGCATGGCAGAGCTACAGGGGACGTGCTGTAGCCTGCTGCATCCCCCCAGTATCTCCAGTGGCTGTGCGACAAGGTGCCACAGGCCAGGGGCTTAACCGTACACATCTGTTGTAGTCTCTCAGTTTAGGAGGGGTCGGGGTGTTGGCAAGTCACCTCCTTGGAAACTCGGAGGGAGAAGCTGCTCCTTGTGCCTCCCTGGTCTTTTGGTGTGACGGGTTCTTCATACCTTGGCCTTAGCTCACACCCGTGAGACCCTTTTCCTGCTGGGCTGGCTTCTGCTCTGTCTCCCTGCAGTTGCTGGTTATGCTCTGCCTCTGCTGAACACAGCTGCCTTCCCCACACATACCTCCTGTCATCGTCTCTCACCTGACACTGTCCTTCCTGGGTCACAGTCACCCTGCTCTGTGTGACCTCATCTTGACAGTTATACCCCATTTCCACAGGAGGCCACATTAGGAGTTTACGAGGAGGACATGATTTGGTGCTCTCTTCCGGGACAGGAAGGCTGTCCTATCCTGCTGGGGCTCTGGCTGTGTCCTGGCACCCCTGCTGCGGTGTTGGACACAGATGGGTTGAGCATGCTGACTGACCCTTGTGATAAAGACCCCCATTCGGCTGACATTGGTGGTCCAGGAATGGGTGGCTCTGTGCGGGTTGTGTAAACTCTGGTCTGCAGATGGGTTTCAGTGACAGAAAATGAACTTGGGGAGCATGTTTCCTCTGGATTGGCTGTCTTTGGAGTGATGGTGTCACCTGTCTCAATGGATACCAAATCCTCATGATGTTGATGGATCATGTTCTAATCACCCACTCACTGATTCAGACATGGGAAGTTTGTGAAAGGTGTCTAGGGTGGCTGTGTGCAGGTAGCTGGTCCACTCTGGCAGCAGGTGCAGTCCAGGGGATGTGGCATGGCCACTCCTCCATTGGGTGGTCTGGCTTTGTGAGTGTCCTATACAGGGACTATAACAGAGTGAAGCCGGCTTACAAAAGCATGGGCCCAGGTGAGGGTCGCTCAGGGTGCTCTACCAAGCTCAGAGGCAGGAACAACGCCTGGTGGAGGGTCTGTGTTGCTCTTGCAGAGCATCGGATAGCTGTTCTGGTGCCCAGAGGAATGCTGAACTGTGCAAAAATGCACGTGATATAACAAAAAGCAGGATGAGCTGGGCATGGTGGCACACACCTGCCCCCAGCACTTGGGAGGTCGAGGCAGGAAGATTGTGGATCTGAGGGTAGCCTGGGCCACACCCTTAAGACCACCCCCATCTCAAGAAAACAAAAGAACACAGACGCGTACGCCTGTAGTCCCAGCATCCAGAGGTAGAAGCAGGCGGGTCTCTGTGCAATCGAGACCAGCCTGGTCTACATAGCGAATTCCAGGCCAGCTGGGGCCACAGGGAAACTGTGTCTCAAAAGAGGTGGGGGGGGGCAGGGAGAGGGAGAGAGGAGGGAGGGAGGGGAGGAGGAGAAAAAACAGGATATAACTCTTTGATGTCAGTAGTGTGAAAACCAGAGAGAAAGGATGTCAAGAAGCTTGTGCATCCCAGGGCCACCCTCTCCCAGTGTCTTGCTGGGAGGCGGCTGGCCTCTTGTGGGTCTGCAAGATGGTTCTTACTGCAACGTCACAGGCTGATGGGAAAACTGGCTCTGAGCATGGGGCCTTGGTTCTCCCTGGTCGTTACCAACCAGCTACAGGGGACACAGCCTGTTGTGTGGGCTCTGGGAGATCAGTGTGGAAGCCCAGAGCTGATGTCCATGGAGCCGGAAGCCACCTTGACTCCTTCAGCGGATGAGTAGGCTAAATCAAGAAGCTGGTACAGCATGGGCAGTCTCCTCTGGGACATGGCCTGTCTTTTAAAAGTGACCAGAGAAAGCAGATTGGATACCACAACCCTGATGGTCTCCTGAGGCTCTGTGATCTTGTGTGTGTTGACCTGGCCACAATTTCAGGGTCCTGGGTCACTGGGGTGGAAGTGGGCAGAAGAGGGGGCTAGGATTTAGCTGCTTTTTGAAGTCACTGACTAGTTTATAGAGAAACAAAAGACCAGCTCCAGCCTCGACCACATGGATGAGTTGACAGTGACTGCGGGATTAGGGTGGGAGGCATGAAGACACAGGTTCCCAGGGAGTAGCCTGGGACTGTGCTGGTAGAGCCTGTCTCCAGGACCGAGTGTGCTCACCTCCTCACACCCCTCTCCTGGTGTGTGTGTGCTCGTTCCTGTCCTCATGAGCCGTCCTGCTCGGCTGGCTTCTGTTTTGGGAGTGTCGGCACAGCAGGTTCTGCTCTCATTTCAGGTGTTCAGGAACCTTCAGCAGTTCATGGAGGGCAAGGACCCTGGGGACGACCTCTTCGATGCACTGACTGTAAGCCTACGTGTATTTTCAAAGCAATGACAGGTGCCAGGGACCCAGAGAAGGAGTGGGAGCCCAAGTCTAGCTTGTCCTTGGCCCCATTGTGCCCCTGTGACCTAGCAGCTAGGAACCTCTTCCCTGCCCGCCTCCTTGAGGCCGAGAATGGCCCGTGAGACTTGTTTCTGAGGAAACCACCCTGCCTTGTCTCCTCTCACTGTGCAGACTTCCAGCCTGAACAGACACCTGCAGGACTTGATGGATGGGCTGACAGCCAAGGTGTTCTGGACCTACAGTGCATCCATCACTCTGCAGGAGCAACTATGGTCACTGACCAGTGGTGAGCAGGTCCTCACACCTGACCCTAAGGGCTGCCAGACCGTCTCCTGTGTGCACTGCCTAAGGGCTGCACCTTGACATAGCTCTCTGGTGGTAGAGGATGCTCATGACTGGTCCCAGAGGGGCAAGGCACCGCCCAAGGCTGGGAGGGAGGCACCGCCCACAGCGGGGGAGGCCCAGCTGGGAGGTGTGCACCCTTCCGGCTTTCCTCTTCCAGCTGTTCCTCCCTCCTTGGTCTGCAGTTGCCCCAACCTGCCTCCCCTGGGCAGGGCCTTACTGCTCTGTCCCTAACAGGCCCTTGTACTCCACGGCCCCTTGACCTGTCCCCACCCCCCAGACCCTCTCAGCTTAAGGCTTCATTTCTCTGCTGCCAACCTAGAGTCTTTGTTTCCCTTCCCTGCATGTAGCTGTGCAGCCGTGACAAGTCATCCAACAACTGCTGCTACCCTTCTCTCAACACAGAAAGGCTGATCCGTGCCCACCACCTGTGCCCACTCCCTAGTCAGGGCTTCCTAAAGGGGGCACTGAGACCCTCAGGTCTGGGAGCTTTGGTCACAGCAAAGTACTGACTCAGTGCTGTTGAATCCAGGCTCTTTCCCCATTATCCCCCAGGCAGCCATGATGACTGGCCTGAGGCCAGGAAGCTATGTGGCCCTGAGGCCATTTTTCAGGTATTAGGGCTGGCATGCAAGTGGGAAGCCCCCAGTAGAGGAACTGTCTTGGGAGGCCAAAACCTGGACACTGGAGTGTCTTCACAGGCCAAGCCTGGGAGGAAACAAATGCAGACAGGGTCTGTATCCAGGGATGACTTCTTAATCCCATAAGACGGCCATGCTGGTCTGGAATGCCTGGATTTGGGATTCTGCAGGTAGAATCCTGAGATTGACAGAGCAAATGGCAATGCAGGTGGGTGACTCAGCAAGGCTTACCTCCAGCCCCAGTTCCTGATGCTGCACCTGGTGGGACTGTTGCCTGGTAAAGCCGTGTCCTGAGTGTAATGTACCAGGCCTCAGTGTTGACTTGGGGCTCCTGTGGAGAGGACCCCAGACTCTATAAATTCAGACAACCCTGTCTCATCCTTCTTCAGGCCCCAGTGCTTCTGGGCTCCTCCTTCCTAGAAGGAGATGACTGAGCCTGGGATGGCTTGGGGCTCCCACCCCATCCCAGCTTCAGCTCCTGCCAATAGGACAGACTCCAGCACCCTAAGAAGATGGGACTCTCAGTGCCTTCCTGCCCCCCAGGCCTCATTACTATGGTTAAACTGCTTGGCCTGGCTTGTGGGGCCACCGTTGACAGGTCCTTGACTCCCTACTCAGGTCTTTGTGCCATAGGAGGGACCAAGTTTATAACACGTTCAGAAAAATCCTCAGGCCAAGGATGCAGCTCAGTGGTAGAGCCCTTGCCCAGCATGCCAAACCCTTGCCTTCTATCCCCAGCACCACCAAAGAAATGGGGGCAAGAGGGAGGGAGCAGGCTTAGTGCAGGTGCAGGTGCGGGACACTTGTCACTGTCTTCGCTCAGCTGAAGACAGCCTACACTCCAAGGTCTTGGCTTACAACTGGGCAAATTGGGCTGTGGCCATCCTCTGTAACCATCAGCGAGCAACCCCTAAGACCTTCGAGAAGTTGATGCAGACTCCAGACAAAGGTGTGAAAGCACCTGTGGTACAGCTTGCCCACATTGACCACTTTACTCTTAAGGTCTTCTCTAGGGACAGGTAGCCATGGGGCACAGGATTGTGTAGTAGATGCTCCAGGAGGCAGGGACCAGGGACTTGGAGCTGCCCAGGGCCATGTCCTGGTCAACCATGGGCAGAGCCAGCTTCTAGGCGCAGAGCCAGCCTGGCACTGAGCTCATTTCCCTGCCAGGACAGCTAGTGTGCAGGTTTGGGAAGTCAGAGCAGCAGGGGTCTTTGGGGAGTCTGGGTCAGTTTGTGGCTGCTGCAGGTGGCCCTGCTGGGACCTCTTGGCCTCATTCTGCTCCTGGCCACAGAGCAGGCCAGCCCGGTGGAGCTCCACAGCGTCTTCCCCCAGGCTGCTCTGTCAGCTGATTTAGAGAAAGTAGGGCTGGGGCTGGGGTGAGATCTGAGGTAGTTTGTCTAGCATTCATGAGACCCTGGGTTCCCTCTCCTGTAACCCCCAACCAAAAAGAATTAGGGCTAAGAGCAATAGACAGACATCCTCAGGCAGGTCTGGATGGGGACGGAAGCCTGTGCTCATTTCTTTGCAGATTGAGACAAAGAAGGCACAGGTGGCTGAGGCACAGGAGGAGCTTGAGAAGGTGAAGGCCGACCTCAGAAAGGGGGGACAGCAAGTCCAAAAGGTGGGTGCAGGACTGCCTCCTTGAGACTCTGACCCTGGGGGCCAGCCAGCAGTAGTGTGCTCCACCTTGGACCTGGGCTTTCTTTTGGTCAATTTTGTTTATACTTTCAGTTGTTATTTTGTTATTTTTGAAAGCTTTATTATTTTTGGACAAAGGTAACATAATACAGAGCCACATGAGGAGCAGCCGGGCCTCTCACGCCCCCTCTGACGTGGGCTGCCAGCAGGTCAGTGCCCAGGGCTCCCAGGCTGCCATGACTCTGTGTTTGTTTCGAGCAGTTGCTTGAGATAATTTTAATGGCACACATTTTGCCTTCTCTAAGTGCATAGCTCTGAGACTTTCCTTTAGAGGTGAGTGGCCACAGTTTCAGAAAAAGATACTGTACCCATCAGCAGCCATTCCCAGCCTCTGGTGGCTCTATCTGCTAGCTACTGTCTGCTTCCGGGCTAGCCTCAGTTTCTCTGCACTGTGCTGGGCTCATAGGCATGGCCGCCTGACCCAGCCGAAGCAGTGTCCCGATAATGCCACTGGGTCTTGTTTCTCTTGTCACTTTCATTTAGTGCCATGTCTAAGACTTTGCTGGACCCAGGTGTGCAGGTGAGTTCCCAAGTTTTCTCCTGAGAGATTTATTAACTTAGCTCTCACAAGAAGTCCTTGTTTCTGCTTGAATTAATTTTTGACGGGGATCTGAGGGTCCAGCCTCATTCCCATGGATACCAGACAGTGTACTGCGAAAGCTGTTCTATGCTCACCATGTGCACCTGGCACCTGTGTTGGAAATGAGTCGGTTGCAGACAGGGGGTTCAGGTCTGTTCTGTTCATATGTGTCCTGTGCCAGCCCAGGTCCATCCAGGTAGCTGAGTGTGGGGGTCAGGATGTGTGCAACCTTCATGTCTTTTTTTATTTGTTTGAGACAGTCTCACTGTGTCTTAAATTCTCAATCCTCCTGCCTCAGCCTCCTGAGTGCTGAGATTACAGGCATGTATCACCACTCTAGCTTGTAACTTTTTCTCTTTAAAGATTGTTTTGAGGGGCTAGAGAGATGGCTCAGTGGTTAAGAGCACTGACTGTTCTTGCAGAGGACCCAGGTTCAATTCCCAGCACCCACATGGCGGCTATGAACCATCCTTAACTCCAGTTCCAGGGGAATCCGAAGCCCTCTTCTGACCTCCAAGGCATTGCACTACACGACATGGGTGCACTCACATACACACAGGCAGTACACCATACACATAAAATAATAAAAATATAAATAAAATATTACAAAAAACAAAAAACAAAAGATTGTTTTGAGGGGCAGGAGGGATGGCTCAGTGGTTAAAAGCACTGACTGCTCTTGCAGAGGACCCGGGTTCAATTCCCATCACCCACATGGTAGCCAACTACCATCTATAACTTCAGCTCCAGGGGATCCAACACCTTTTTCTGGCCTCCATGGGCATTGCATATATGTGGTGCACTTATATACATAAAATCAGACATGTAAAATAAAAAATTTTTAGAAGATTGTTTTGACTATGTGGGGTTCCTTGCAATTCCCCTGTGGTTAGGGCTGATGTTGGGTCTGCAGGTTGATTTGAGAAAGCTGCAGGGCTGCCTCTGCACCACCGATAACCAGGCACACACTTGTAGTCTCAGCACTCGGGAGGTAGAGGCAGGAGGATCAGAAGTTCAGAGCTGGGCCCAAGGGATGGCTCAGAGAGGTAAAAAGAGCACTTAAAAACCCAAGCTCGGCGGTTTTCAGGACCATGTGGTGGCTTAAAATCACCCATAACTCCAGTTCCAGGGGATCTGATGCCCTCTTCTGGCCTCTACAGACACTGCATGCATGTGGTACACATAGAAACTCATACATAGAAAATAAAAATAAAAATCTTAAAAAGTAAAAAGTTCAGGATCATCCTTGGCTATGTAGCACGTTCAAGGCCAGCAGCAACAAAATTCAGCATATGTAACCTGTCTTTAATTCCTTTCAGGGTACATTTATAGTTAAATTTATTAAGTATTGTATTTTAAAAATTTTGTTCTTGCCAGGCGTGGTGGCGCACGCCTTTAAATCCCAGCACTCAGGAGGCAGAGGCAGGCGGATCTCTGTGAGTTCAAGGCCAGCCTGGTCTACATAGTGAGTTCCAGGACAGCTGGGGCTACAGGGAGACCTTGTCTCAAAAAGACCAAAAAAAAATTGTTCTTATTTTATGTATATGAGTGTTTTGTCTGCATGTATGTTAGTGCACCCATGTTATGCAATGCCTGTGGAGGCTAGAAGAGGCATTGAATCTCCTGGAACTGGAGTTAAGAACGGTTGTTGGCCACCGTGTGGGTGCTGAGATTATAACCTGGGTCCTCTGCAATAGCATCCAGTGCTCTTAACTGCTGAGCCCTCTCTCCAGCCCCATGTGTTGCATTTTTAAGCAGTTGTAGATGGAACTCTTTCTTCCATATCACGTTCAGATTGCCTGCCAGGCCACTGTGGGACAAGTGATAATAGGTCACAGGCTCAGTATATTCTGTGCTCATGGCTGCGATTACTATAGCAGAGGGTGCAGGGCACAAGCAGCGATGGGACAGGGTGCCCAGGACGAGTTCAGGGAAGCAGCCGCCATTTCCATGTGGAGCCTCTTGGTGTTTGGGATTCCAGTGGTCACATTGTCACCTTGTGGTTTCAGAAGTCCTGCTGTCCCCCCACCCCTTTGTTACACAATCCACATTCACATTTAGCAACGGCTCTGCAGTTACCCAGTTTCTCCTCCAGATGCCTCAACTGGACAGGTCCTGTGCTGGAAGGACAAAGCACTTTCACAGATGTGGCTAGAAGATTGGGTGTGTCCTGATGGAGCCAGGTGTGGTTTTTCCCAAGTATAAGTGGGCTCACATGCCCCATGCAGCCCATTGCTCCTGATCATGTATGCAATGGACAGCCTCGTTTGAGGCCAGCTGTGTCTACAGCCACACTGCCTCCCTAGGGGAAAGCAAGACACAGTTAGGCCCTTTGCCAGAGGTTGCAAACTGCTTGTGCAGGGAGCTGACATCAGCAGCAAGGCCCCAAAGGCTCAGAGGCCCATCTGGTGGGCCTTGTTCTGAGGCAGCATTTACAGGATCCACGTGCTACAAGTGGTCACAATACACAGCTGTTGCTCCTGCTTCCCCAAGGTGACCAGTACTGGCTCCAGGCCAGCAGGCAGTATGGGTCTCAGCCTAGGACCCCAGAGGAGTGCCCCTAGATGGCCAAGCTGCCGTGGTGGACAGGGTCAGGTTTAGGTTGGGACCAGGGTCCAACAGAATACCTGTCAATTCAGGACTCAGCCCTGAGCCTTTGCACCTCAGTATGTTAGAGTCAGAACTGACCTGTGTAGAGGGCACAACAGCCTGGAGTCCACAGCCTTTGGCTGCAGATGGCCCAGGCGAGGAGATCACAGCAGCCCAGCCTTGTTTAAGCGCTCAGGGCGGATCTTCCCTGCTCTCCACTCCCAGAGCTTCTAAGACGCAAAACGGCGGTCACCACACGTAGGCAGATCTTTCTGTTAACCCTCCTGCCAGCTGCAGAGGCAGCCGTGGCCTTTAATGCGTCTTGGTAGCTTTTCTGATGCTGAGCCCTCTGCACTTCTGAGGCTGTGAGTGTTCAGCAGTGTGCCAGTTTTCACACACTCAGATGGAAGCCTGAGAACACAAGCCGTGGACTTTGCCTTTATTATTTGCTGGCTGGCTTATACCCCGCAGGGTTGGGTGGCTATCACGGGGTTAGCACTGGCTGCCAGGATGGCACTAGGCCCCACTGGAGGCTCAAAATTTAGTCCACAGCCGGTTGAGGTGCACACACCTAGAACCAGGCACCGGGGAGGTTGAGGCGGTGATGTCACTGAGTCCAGGTCAGCCTGGGCTGTGTAGTGCAACCCTTTCTCTAGGCCCAGGAACTGACTTCACATTCTTTTTCTCCTCCTAGAGGCTTGTTGGTCAGGTTTTTCATGACTAAGACAAATACCTGAGAGAGCCAGCTGAGGGAGGGAAGGTTCATTTTGTCTATGCTTGATGGGCTCTTTTGCTTTTAAACCAGAGCTGATGTAACCTATCCTGACGGGGACATGTGGAGGAGTGTAGCTACTCACCTCATAGTGGCCAGGAAGCAGAGAGACAGGAAGGTAGGGGACAAGCTACCTATTGAAGGCACATTTTCAGTGACCTGTGTCCTCTAACCGAGCCCGACTCATTTTTATCATCTCAATGTTGTCACATGATGATTCCATCAGTGGATTAACCCACTGACTAGGCCCCAGCCCTCACTATCCAGTTATCTCTCTTACTGGTTGGTCCACCAGCTGGGGGCCAATGCACATGAATACATGAACCTGGGAGGGGTACTTCCCATTCAATTGAAACAGGACAGAGCAAGGTAAACTAGAGAGGACGTTGGCTCCTCCTCCTACCTGGAGAACAGACACCTGACCTGCACATTTCTTCCCCCATCACAGCCAAAGCAGCTGAGTCCAGTGAGCCCACTTTGAGGCCCATGTGCTGTGTCCCACTCCACAGGTGACCATTGCTTTTACAGAGTCCAAGGCCTCCAAGTGCATGGGGCCACTGCCCACTGTGCCCTGGCCTTGCCACAGCACTTCCAGCATGTTTCAGTGAGTCTGGGGCCTAGCGAACCTCACCTCTGATGCCCACTGTGGCCCTCTCCCCAAGGGCGCAGCTGAGTTGATGCACAAGGTTGCAGCATGTGCTTGAAACTGAGCCACGGCAAGGGGAGAAGGAGCAAACAGTGCACCCAAGCCCCCTGCTTGGCTGTACCCTGCATCCCTGTCACCAGCGAGCAGAGTGGCACCTGTGAGGTGGCCGCATACATGAGATGCTCGCCATCTGGAGAGCCTCTGAGACTTGCCCTGGGTCCTCTGCTACAAGCCAAGCCCCAGACTCTAAGAAGGAAAGCCGGGCTCAGCCGGAACCACATTATCTGCCCATGAAACACCAATCCCAGTGGACCAGATGACCAGGCTGCATGGCAG